GAATGTTGACGGGGGCATTGACACTCAGAATTGCAGTGAACTTAATCGTTGTGTTCACAAATTCTTGAGTGATGCCTTTGAGAACCCCTTGTCTTCTACCTCGATCTCTGCTGGAGGTACTTTTCGCCCTACTGGGGCTATTGAGTTTTCTGAGGTTCCTATTGATGTCCATCTTCGCCCTGTCCTTTGTCCTGTTGGAGATGAGGATGCTCCATTTCGGCCTGAGATGAACGTGAGGGCTGACGAGTCTCTGTTTGTGGACGACCCCCAGAAAGGCAGTACTTTGGGGTACCGTTTGACTCAAGGAGTCCGTCTTCCAGCTAATTTTATGTGCAATGCAGTTAGCCTCCCTGCTGCTACGGCTTGCCATGACCTGCAGAAGGTTTTTTTTTTTTTTTTCTCTTTTTCTTTGTTCGTTCCATTGTCAATGTCTTGTTTTATTCTTTCCTTCCACTGATTTCTATCTTAGCTTACTCTTTTCTTTCTCTGCCCTTTTTTGCAGCTTGTCAAGTCTGTTGGAGATTTATCCAATGTCTTGTTGGCAGTGGAGAAGGAGTATCAAAATCAAGGCCTGATCCTTTCTTAGAAGAATTTGGAGGTTCAGCAGGCTCGGGATGAGAAGGAAGCTATGGTCAGTGAGGTGACACCTCTGAGGGAGAGGGCGGACGCCCTGTAGCTCCAGTTGGGAGAATTTCAGCTCACCCAGACCAAATTGAAGAGCTGCGAGGAACAGTTGGGGACCTCTCAGGCCGTGTAGGCGTTGGAAACAGAGATAGCTGACTTGTGAGCTGGGCATGATACTGAGCTGGAGACTGCTAGGAAGGAGGCACTTAATGCCTTTGCACTCTCCCCTGCTTTTGCTATGTTATTGGCTAATTGCCATGATGGTGGATGCGATGCTGCGGCTCGGTGTGTGAGCAGCTTATATGGTGAAGGTGCGGAACAGCAGGCTCGTTTCAACACCTTCTGGGCCAAAGTAGAGGCTGCGGGCGAGGCTGGTTTGTTTGAGCTACCTGCTGACCACCCTCGTGCTGCCAGTTACAAGGTTCCTAAGCATGCTGTGCTGAACTTGGAAGTTCCCCATTGTCTTGATGTTGCTGAAGCTATTGGGATGGAGTCCTTGGCTGGTGGGCAATAAATGCTATGGCGGCTGTCACCTTCCTACTCCAGTGTTTGTTACTATCTTTGGGGTGTATAGCAGCTAAAGATTATGTTTCTTTGCGTTTCCTCATAATACTTTGTCTTTTGTTGCTGGGTCTGTCCAACTTAACTTGAATTTGTGCCTTTCTGGCTTTACTTGCTGAGTGTTTCCTTGTCCTGGTGGACGAGGGCTCAGCTTTGCATATGTTGTAACTAACCTACTGAATGTTTACCCTGCCTTGGTGGGCAGGGGTTCAGCTTTGTATTGCATGTATTTCTGCTACCTTGTCTGTTGATTATCTCATAGTCTGCGTGTTTTATTAGCATTTTCTTTGTTGCGCTCGGCGAGGCCTCGTAGGATGGGCCTTCCTACTTTCTTGATTTTGCTTTGGGTGCTTGTGCCTTATGTACTTTGTTTAGGTTTGATAGAGACTCGTGTGCATGTTGACTAGTTTATTCAGTTGTTGACTTTCTGGGCATTACTCAGTCTGCTCTGTTGAGACTTACTTGTGTCAATCAGCTTTTTAACCGCTCGTTTAGTGTTGTTCAGCTTGTTTTGCTGTGACTTATTTATGTCGTTCAACTTGTTTTGCTGTGACTTATTTATGTCGTTCAGCTTGTTTATGATGCGACTTGCTGTTTTGTGCCACTTACTCCTTTTTGTAAGGGCTTATATGTATCTACTTCCTCCTCCTTTCCTTCTCGAAGAGGTGAGCTGGGTGGGACTAAGAGAACCTTAGTGTTTCCCACATAGCTCATCGTCTTCGTTTTCCCTGCCCTCTCCTGCTCAAGTTGAATGTGCCAGGGCTCCCCCTCAGGCGTCCCCGAGGTGGTGCCCTGTTTTACTTGGAGCATGTGAGGTTGGGTTTTTGGGAGGGATGCTTTCTTCTTAGCTTAACGTTGTTTTGTTGCTTTGTCCTAGAGTGCTTTAGTACCCTCAGCACATGCATTTTTGTTGCTCTCTTCTTTCCTTTTTTTTAATTTTTTTTATCTTTACTTCTGTATGTTAGTATATGATGCTAAAGCATGATATGTCAAAATAGGTTTACGCAATATACTTCTCACGTAGAGGCTTGTATTTCATTAAATTAAAAATGACTCATATGCCTTAGTTAACATAACATGAACTAAACAGAGTTATTGCAAAATTGAAATAGCTGTCTCCGTTTCTACTTAACTTCTTGCCTTTTAAACAAAATATTTTTTTAACAAATCAACATTAAAACTATTTCTTAAGACCTGACCTTCTTGATCTGCAAGGAGGAATACACCTGGTCCTACTTGCTCATGAATGTTGAAAGGACCTTCCCAATTGGCTGACAGTTTTCCATGTTGATTTCCTCTTCCTACTGCTGCTGTCCTTTTGAGGACCAAGTCTCCAGGCAGGTCCCTGTGCTTGACCCTTTTAAAGAAAGCTTTGGAAATCTTGCTCTTTTGGGCTGCCAACTTTAAGGCTGCTTTTAGCCTTATCTCCGGTAGGAAGTCTAGCTCTTCCAGCCTGCGCTTTTCGTTTCCTTGTTGTTCATAATGTTGTATCATCAGGCTGGGAATCTACACCTCCACTGGGAGAACTGCATTAGCCCCATAGGCCAGGGCGAAAGGGCTTTTAGCAGTAGACTTTTTCTTAGTGGTTTTGTTTGCCCATAGGACCTCTAGGACTAGGTCAGCCCATAGGCCCTTGTGCTCCTTTAGCTTTCTCTGCAGGGCTGTTAGGATCAGCCTGTTTTCTGCCTCGGCCTGACCATTTCTCTGAGGGTGGAAGACTGAGGCAATTGTATACGTGGTGCCCATGTCCTCCAGATAATCCTTGATTGTGTCGCAGTCAAATTGGCATCCGTGGTCAAAGACTATGCACTGTGGCACTCCGAATCTTATGATGACGTTCTTCCATATGAACGTTCTCACTTGGGTGGCCTTTATGTACTTGGTCGGCTCAGCTTCTATCCACTTAGTAAAATAGTCTACCGCCACTATGAGGTATTTTTTGCCCGCTGACCCAATGGTGAACGGTTCCAATATGTCCATTCCCCACTGGGCAAACAGAATCGGGCTGAGAATTGGAGTCAAATCATTTGCTGGCTGGTTTATGATTGGGGAATACTTCTGACATTTGTTGCACTTTTTCACATATGCCTGTACGTCTTGAGCTAGAGTTGGCCAGTATGCGCCTCTTCTTAGAACTTCTACTCCCAATGCTTTTCCACCAATGTGGTTGGCACATATTCATGAGTGGGCTTCTTCCAGGCTAGGGCGAGCTCTGAGAGGCGAGTTCCCCGCAGTAGGTCACCAGCCTCAAAGAGGGGGCCCAACCCGGACAGAGACAAGCGACCGCGGATCCAGGTTATTGCAGATAATTCCCCTTTTTGTCGAGAGATTCTGGAAGAACCGATGGAGAAGATAAAGATGCCGAGCTGTAGGTACAATGGAACCACAACACCTAAGAGCCACATATCAGCCTTTGAGAACCACATGGTGCTCTACACCATGACGGATTCGGTTTGGTGCAAAGCGTTCCCACCAACCATGGAGGGATTAGCTGCGGATGGTATGGAGCCATCCTTAAAGGTTCTGTATACTCGTATAATCAGCTGAAGAGGATGTTCATGGAGCATTTCATAACCTTGGTAGATCGAACTAAGATGACAACTGGGCTGATGTCACTGGTTAAGGGGAAGGATGAGCCCTGAGGGAGTTCTTCACCAGATTCAACAAGGAGGAAATAACCATCCCAAAGATGAGCCAGGAGGTAGCATTGCTGGCCATGCAGAGCGGCTTGCTGCCGGGCTCACCGTTTAGAGCGTATATGGGGCGTAAGAGCCTCAAAACGCTGGCTGAGGCGCTGGGTAAAGCGTACAAGTTCATCAAGGCAGACGAAACTGATAGAGAAATGCTAAGCAGGAAGGCGCCAAGCGACCTAGTTAAGCGGGCAGAAATCACCCGAACAGAACATGTAGCCAGGGCTGACCAGCCAAGCAGAGCTGAACAAGGTCGCAGAGAGGCGGACAGAGCGGTGGGGGTAAAAAGGCCTGATCCGAGGAGACGAGGAAGGCCAGGAAGGTTCGATCAATATAACCCACTAACCCACTCGAGGTCTTACATTTTCAGTGTGAACAAAGGTGATGATAAGTGGCAGAGACCCCTGAGTATGGTTAACAGGAACCGTGATCCCAGGTAGTGGTGTGACTTCTATAGAGACCATGGCCATACCACTGATGAGTGCACGCTCTTGAAAGATAACATAGAAGATCTGGTCAGGAGAGGATACCTGAATCAGTTCAAGCAGCACGTTGATCCTCCCAGAAGAAGGGATGAAGATAGAGCAGGTCGTGACCGCAGAGGAGGTTATAGAGGTCCCGCTAAGGAGAGGGACAGAGACAATAAGCCAGAAGGAAGTGTGTATGTAATCAGTGGAGGACCAGTGCACGGGGGAACAGTGAACAAAGCGCGAGAAGACATGCGGGCAATGATACATCAAATAAATTACAATGAGAAGCGTAGATGGCCACCACTTCCTCCGCAGCTACGGGCTACATTTGATGAATACGATCAAGAATGCATTAGTCTATCCTTATGATGACCCGCTGGTGGTGACGATGAGAATAGCGAATTGGGAGGTGGATCGAATACTGATAGATGGGGGCAGCTCACCCAATATCATATACATTAGCGCATTCAAAGAGTTGAAGTTAGACAAGAAAAATCTGAAAAGGGTGAGTTATGAAGTCATCGGGTTCAATGGATTTGGATTGACCCCAGAGGGCATAATTGAGCTCTCAGTTCGAGTAGGGGAAAGGTTAAAATGACGTGATGTTCGGGCAGAGTTCTTAGTGATAGACTCTCCTTCACCTTACAATGTGATCATGGGAAGGCCGCTCATTGACAAGATCGCCGGAGTAGTTTCCACCTACCACCTCGCCATGACTTACACAACTAACGAAGGGCGATCAACAAAGCTCAGGGGAAGCCAAAAAAAGGCTCAACAATGCTACATAACTTCTTTAAAGCAGCCCGCCAGGATCAGGCAGCAGCCGATCTCAAAACTAAGATCCCTTGAGCAGCTTGAGAGAAAGTCAAGGAAAAGGAAGCGCGAAGAATACCGTAGGGAAAAGGATAAGCAAAAGTTAGCCATGGAAAATTTTGAGCCCGCAAAAAAGGAGATGGCAAGGCCATTTCCCAGCGGGGAGCACGTTACAGTTGAGCTCACCAAGGGCGACCCATCGAGAACGGTGAAAATCGGGAAGGATATTGATCCAGTTGTAGGTGTGCACCTCATAGAATTGTTGAGGAAGAACAAAGATATCTTCGCGTTTTCAGCAGATAAGATGCCTGGAATTGACCCCGCAATCATGGTCCACAGGCTGAACGTGAGGGGGGACATTAAGCCAGTAAGGCAGAAGAATCGAAGCTTCTCCACGGAGAAAAACCAGGCCATCCAGGAGGATGTAGAAAAGCTTTTGGAAGTGGGATTCATTAAACCTTGTGATTATCCAGAGTGGTTGGCAAATGTAGTCATGGTCAAGAAGGCGAATGGTCAGTAGAGAATGTGTGTTGATTTCACCGACCTCAACAAAGCCTGCCCGAAATATTGTTACCCGCTGCCACGAATAGATCAGCTTGTAGACTTAACCAGTGGGCACGCCCTACTGAGCTTCATGGACGCCTTCTCAGGATACCATCAGATCAGCCTGCACAACCCGAATAGACAAAAAACTGCATTCATCACTGAAGGGGGAGTGTACAATTACATAGCTATGCCCTTTGGGTTGAAGAATGCAGGAGCAACTTTTCAGAAGACAATGTAAAGAATGTTTATGCACCAAAAGGGTAGAAATGTGGAAGTATATGTGGACGACTCAATTATAAAGAGCGTTACACAGGCAGGTCATATCATGGATTTAGAAGAAACATTTGTCACTCTGAGCAAGTACAACATCAAACTCAATCCGAAGAAATGTGTCTTCGGGGTGAGTTTAGGAATTTTCTTAGGCTTCCTAATCAGTGAAATAGGAATAGACGCAAACCCGGAGAAGGTTGAGGCAGTCCTAAGCCTACCTGAGCCTAAGTGTAATAAAGACATCATGCGATTGACATGCAGAATGGCCGCACTGACCAGGTTCATCAACAAGTTAGCAGACAAAGCCTTGCCGTTTTACCAGCTGTTGAAAGGGAACAAAGAATTTAAGTGGGGAGCCGCAAAAAGAGAATCTTTTGAGGGTATCAAGGAGCATCTAACTAAGCTCCCAACAATGATCAGCCCGGAGATGAGGGAAAAGTAGCATCTGTACATTTCCGCGTCAATTCGGACAATCGCAGCCGTCCTCTTGCTAGAAAGGCAAAAGCAACAAAGGCCAATATACTTTGTGAGCCACGTACTGACTGAGGCAGAACAAAGATACCCATTGGTCGAGAAGCTGGCCTTCACAGTGGTAACAACAAGGAAGTTGAAACCGTATTTTGACGCGCACATAATACAAATCCTCATAAATCACCCACTGGAAAAAGCATTGCAGAAGATGGACGCATCAGGTAGACTCTTGAAATGGGCCATCGAGCTTTCTAAGTATGAGTTGGAGGTCAAGCCCAAGGCAGCCATCAAGGCACAAGCCTTGGCAGATTTCATTGTGGAAGCCTCTTATGAGGAGAAGGAAGATGACGTTGGGATCTAGAAGGTAGAAGTAGATGGATCCTCAGCCCAAGCAGGGAGGGGGGCAGGAATCATAATGAAATCCCCAAAGGGAAATGTGTTTGAGTACGCTATAAAGTTCAAATTCAAAGCATCAAATAACGAGGCAGAATACGAGGCAACGCTGACAGGCCTGCGTATGAGTATCCCAGCCGGAGCCAGGAAAGTCCATCTGCAAACTGACTTCCAGCTTGTTGTCAGTCAGCTGAAGGGGGCGTACGAGATTAGGGAGCCCACCAAGTTGAAATATGTGACTAAAGTAAAAGAACTGGCAGCCCATCTGGTTCATTTCCAGATAGACTAAGTCCCCAAAGCGGAAAACTCCCAGGCTGACGCCTTGTCAAAGTTGGCCAGTTCTACCCTGCAGAGCCTAACATGGACGGTGATGGTGGAAGTCATGGAGGAAAGCAGGATCGTCGAAAAGGAGCAGGTGAACTGCACTGGACAACAACAAGCTTGGTTCATAGACATTCTGGCATATAAAGTTCATGGCTTGCTTCCAGACGACGAAGTTTAAGCTAAAAAGGTAAAGAAAGACGCCAATTGGTACGTGGTAATGAACGGGGATCTTAACAAGAAGGGCTTCTCAAAACCACTACTGAGGTGTATTCCCGAGAGGGAGTAGGAAAGCATTATGGAAGAAGCCCACTCAGGAATATGTGCCAACCACATTAGTGGAAAAGCATTGGGAGTAGAAGTTCTAAGAAGAGGCGCATATTGGCCAACTCTAGTTGAAGACGCGCTGGCATATGTGAAAAAGTGCGACAAATGTCAAAAGTATTCCCCAGTCATAAACCAGCCAGCAAATGACTTGACTCCAATTCTCAGCCCGATTCCGTTTGCCGAATGGGGAATGAACATATTGGGACCGTTCACCAGTGGGTTAGCAGGCAGAAAATACCTCATACTGGCGGTAGACTATTTTACTAAGTGGATAGAAGCTGAACCGACCAAGTACATAAAGGCCACCCAAGTGAGAACGTTTATATGGAAGAACGTCATCACAAGATTCGGAGTGCCACAGTGCATAGTCTTTGACCACAGATGCCAATTCGACTGCGACACAATCAAGGATTATCTGGAGGACATGGGCACCAAGTATGAAAGTGCCTCAGTCTGCCACCCTTAGAGCAATGGTCAGGCCAAGGCAGCAAATAAGCTGATCCTAACAGCCTTGTAGAGAAAGGTAGAGGAGCACAAGGGCCTATGGGTTGACCTAGTCCTAGAGGTCCTTTGGGCAAAGAGAACCACTGAGAAAGAGTCTACTGGTAAAATCCTTTTCACCCTGGCCTATGAGGCTGATGCAGTTCTCCTAGTGGAGGTGCAAATTCCCAGGCTGAGGATACAACATGATGAACAACAAGGAAACGAAAAGCGCAGGCAAGAAGAGCCCGGTAGCAAGCCGCTCTACATGGCCAGCAATACTACCTCCTAGCTCATATTCGGGATGGTTGTTGCCTCCTTGTTGAATCTGGTGATGAACTCCCTCAGGGGCTCATCCTTCCCCTGAACTAGTGACATTAGCTCAGTTGTCATCTTAGTTCGATCTACCAAATTATGAAATGCTTCATGAACATCCTCTTCAGCTGATTGTACGAGTATACGGAACCTTTAGGGATGACTCCATACCATTCCGCAGCTAATCCCTCCAAGGTTAGTGGGAACGCTTTGCACCAAACTGAATCCGTTATGGTATAGAGCACTATGTGGTTCTCAAAGGTTGATATGTGGCTCTTAGGTGTTGTGGTTCCATTGTACCTACAGCTCGACATCTTTATCTTCTCCATTGGTCCTTCTAGAATCTCCGACAAAATAGGGAATCATCTGGAATAACCTGGATCCGCGCTCGCTTGTCTCTATCCGGGCTGGGCCCCCGCTCTGAGGATGGTGACCTGCTGCGGGGAACTCGCCTCTCCGGGCTCGTCCCAGCCTGGGCTATCTCCTCCACACTCCATTATCGGTTCAGGTTGCGAGCTTCCAACTCCAGTACCTTCTTCCTCAGCTGAACGAGCTCCTTCTGCTCGGGGGTGAGGATTGGGGGTGCTGATTTCTTTACTGCTGGCTCCGCATCTGCCGTAGTTGGTAGCGAGCTCGTTCCCTTACCCATATTGATAAGGACTGTCGTCATTGCCGCCAGCTGTTCCTTATTGCACTTAGAGAGGTTCTGTAGAATGACTGACATGTTTACAGGCTGCGGTTTTTAGGCTATGGGTGTTGAAACAATAGGTTCACTGTTCGCGCCTGCCAACGACATTCCGTATTTGAAGATGGAATTGGATCCTGTCAGATCGATTGGTTTGGACGCTGCTTTAGCTGCAGCTTACGTCGGTCCGATGGGGTTGGATTTTTGTAAGATGGTTGATTTGGGTTTTTCGGCGGATCCTTTTGGATCGACAGTTGCTGCTGGTGTTTTTTATGGTGTTTGGTTGGTGAAGCTGGCTTTGGGTATGGGTGTTTGTACAACTTCCTCCTCGGCCATGGTGGTTTGTCAACTAGTCCCTAGCTCAGTTGGTGAACCTCAGGTTAGATGATCCTACCCCTCCTTCTAGCGCCAATTGTTCCAAGTATGGATCCAAGGGTTCTGCTGGGTGAGCTGGGTCTCGTCGGCAACCTCCACACGACAGTACACGTAAACTGCCCTCGAGGGAGGGTTGAGGAGCCCCCCTCCGAAGCTTAAGTCAGAGAGTGTTTAGAGAGAGAAAGTATACTTAGAGAGATATAGAAAGTACAATAACTTTAGTGTCTGACCTCTTTTTCGCTGTACCTTACTCTCTATTTATAGGCGTACTATCTCCTTTATGGAGGGTCTAGCCTGGTCAGCCATGCGGGTTGTCTTCATCAGGCTAGAGAGCCCTTCTTAGCTACTTTCTCGGCAGTGAGTGCGCACCCTGGGGGCTGGGCGATAGTTAAGCGGGAGCTATCCTATACATGTGTGATTTAGAGATTAAAGAAATAGTTAAAACAGGAGGAGCTTATTCGGAGTTTGACGGCTGCGAACGACGAAGCTAAGAGCCGGGCTAATGACCTTAATCAAAAACTGAATGATGCTAAAGCTGAGCTCAAGGCATTGGAAGACGCTGACAAGGAGAACACGAAGCTCCGGGCAGACATCGCCCGACTGGGGTGGAGATCGTCAACGTGCGGAACCAGCATGCAGATGAAATCGCCAAGGAGCAGACTTGGCTGATGGAGGAAAATAAGCGGGACAATGTATCCCGCCTAAAGATAAATTGGGGTCTCCTCTATCCGGATATAGACTTTGAAGTCTATAAACTTAGGTATGATTACGCCACTGTGGTGTATGATGCCCAATTTTTGAGAGAGGCAGCTCCGCCTCGCTCCAAGGAATGGGCTGCAGAGCTGGGATATGATGTCTCAGATAATGAGGAGGAGCCGGCGGAGGATGAGCAGAATGAAGGCAGCCAGCCTCAAGCAACTGATAACTAATATGAGACCCTCCCAACCAGTCAGAACCAGCCGTATCAACAGCCTCCACCTCAGCCTTAGGCCAGCCTCCCCAAATTCAGCGGCAGTATGCCAAGTTTCTTTCTTTTCCGGCTTGTAAGCCGAGTATGTTGTATTTTTACCAATTGTGGAGTTGGGTTAACAATAATTTTTTGCTTCTTCACCGGATGTGATTCCGGTTACCAATTATTATGGCCTTAGTGCCATTTTTAATATTTATATATAGTATTCCGACTCAATCGGTTGTTTATACATATTTGTGTTTGAATTTTTTCAATTTAAATTTTGCGTATATACTGCAATTCTTTGATATTTTGCCTAACTTAACAAAGCATGCGGCAATTTGCATTCCGGCTGTTCTTGCCCCTAGACGACTGTGTGGTTGGTTTCATTTCAATATTGATTGATTGGCTTGAAAACACTTGATATTGGAGAAGTATGAGGTGTTTTAAGGCCAATCAATCACAATGGTGATTGCCCCAAACCAAGTGCACATGCGGTCATTTAAACGGGTGCTTCGAGCCTCTTACCCAAGCGTTAATTTTCCGTCTGGGTTTATTGCATAGCCATTACACAAAACTCTTTTTCCCTAATTAGGAGAGAGTGTACAATTTTGGAATAAATAGTCTAAGTAAGAACTTCAGCCGGTTATCG